TGGGGGCCCAATCCCACCTCCTCCTGCCCCTATCTAAGCAAATATTTCTGGACCTCTAACACTCATTGTGTTTGAGTGTGGCACCAAAAAGACACTCCACTGCTGGAGTGACTGAATATTAATGCCCTTTTCATTAGTCAACAGGTTGCTAATTTGATGAGTGGGGAGAGGACAAGCACCCCCCCATCTTGTCCTCAGCTGTCCTCATCAATCAGCTGGAGCAGGGCTGTCGGTCATACTGTGTGTGTGTTTGTGTGCACATGTGAGAATATGAGGTGGCCACACGCACTCCTGACATACAGACCTCAGAGGGTTGGCCAAGGATGAATGTGGCCCATGAGCCAAAAAGGGGAACGGATTTCCACCCCTGCATTAGATAGGGGAACATCCAGATTTCATAGCAACCGAAGGCACAACCCACCAGTATTCGCTGCTCCCCAATCCCCCATTGATTTCACTTCCGTAAGGTGAAATGGTGTCTTTAAAATGGATGCCTTGTCTTGTGTTCAGATTCCGTACACATGATTCCATATTGAAAAGAACTTAACAGTTGTATAATACGTATTTATTTCTGCAAGAAACCCAATCCCTGGGGTGAAAAGTAGGGTATAATTAAAAAATTAATAAAAACCCTAGGATGATCTTCATGAACTGAATATCAAAGTTTTCGTTGCATTTTTTAGATGCCAGTACAGATTTTTTTAAACAACAACAACACTACTGTAAGAGTATTGGATGAATGGGGGATCTGCTGGGTAGCCCTGCCCCCACCATCAGGAATGCTGACTAGCCCCACCCCCTGGTATCTGCATATACAGCAGGGAGGCAACCTCTGTGTCTGCAGCTGTATATGCAAAGCCTCCATCGTTGCTGCTAAATTAATCACAAACAGTTAAAACAATCAGTTCAAGTGCAGCAGCTCCAACCCAAATATATGAAGAGGTGAACTCATCATTAGCTTAAGCCATCCCTATTTAAGATAAAACAGTTCGCCTTTTCAAAACCGAGGAGTCTGATATTATAATTGTTTTTGTCATTTGCACAGCAATTTTACTCCTGAATGCCTTGTTTTAGGCAGAATTAATAATAATAATAATAAAATTGCATGTGCTTCAGGTGCTGTGTGTAGCTTCACCCCTTTTTTTCTGCATAGCTCAGCCTGGAGCTGTGAATGCTCCTTTTCTTATTATCAGTTAATAATTCTCTCTCATTGAGGCAAATTAGGAACTTGACTGTGTTAGAGAGTCCAGAACACTGCTAGAGGCAAAAAAAAAGGGGGGGATAAATGGCAGAAATTCCTCTCTGAGCAAGATGCATGAAGCACAACATTGTGTCCACCACAAAAGCCGCTCTGTATTTTTGATCCTTTCTAATTTAATTAGCCCAAGAGGTAGCACATTAATTTGCCAAGAATTCTTCTGATGCGAGAGCTGCCCTCGTTGCAAAGAAGGGGGAAAAATAACCTGTGTGCTACTGTGGCACGGCAGTAATGAAAGGGGGCTATTTTGGTGTTACAAATAGCATTGCGGGGTTACAAGAGACCTTTAAACCTTTTTATCTCTGGTTGGGTCTATGTAGCACAAAGCACTAATTAACCACTTCTAGCCCAGGGGTCTTTTAAAAAACCCATAGAGTTACAAGTTCAACCTGAAGACAGGTCAACATTATGAAATCGGCAGCAGCAAGTTCTGGAATGCACATCCTAGATAAGTTATCCACGGCACTGTGGATATTATTTTTTTCTAAAGCATTTAATGATATTCTTTATGTGGCTTAGCTGGAGCCTTGAATTTCCTTATAATGTCTCTGGGCTCTTAACTCGGCGCTTGTTTGCTAAATTGTCTCCACGTGAATCTTCTTCATCAAAAACCAGGGGTCAGATTGGAACGATCTTTGATCAGATCTACTGCCACCAAGTTTCTTTTACTGCCATGTGCTTCTGATATGTTCTCATGCACATTAATGGATCATTTTCTCATTTGAAAAACAATGAGAAACATGCACAGTATGAGGAAATCGTTCAGGATACTTTGAACTGCTCTGAAAATGAAATCTATGATATAATTTCTGTCATGTGTAACTCTTTCAAAGACTGGTAGGAATGCATTTGAGGCAGGATTCCAATAACCAGGCTCTGTATCGTATCACAAGCAGGGAGGGTGGGTTAAGAGGGGTGGAAATTGAACTAAAGGTCCAGTTCTTAGGAGGAATAAACAGGCCTTTTGCTCAGGGGCAACCTCCTCAGAGGAGGACCACAGAGAAGGACTCAGTGGTGAAGCATCTGCCTGTCTTGCAAAAGGTCCCAGCTTCAAGTCCCGGCATCTCCAGGTGGAACTGGAAAGGACTCCTGCCTGAAATCTTGGAGGACCACTGCCGGTCAGTGAAAACAATCCTGAGGTAGATGGACCCATTATGTCTGACAAGAAGGGGGCTTCCTATGTAAAAAAATATGGAACCAGCCCTGTCTGCAAGTTTGACATCTCCTCTTTCTCCCTCATTAGAAGCTTTCAAGCAGTGGCTGAGCAGCTCTCTGTTGGGGAAGTTCTAGCTATAGATTTCTGGCATTAAGCAAGGAGTTGGAATAGATGGCTTGTGAGGCTCCCTCTGTAATTGTATGATTTTTTAAAAATATTTTGTATTGATTTATCATAATCACAAACTAAGACATCACCATACAAACAATAACAGAATCCTAAACAGAGAGTATAAAAAGCAAATAACAGAGATGCGGCTACACACAGCCAAGATTTTAAGATGTATCTGTATAGCCAACCACAGCAAGGAGAGTGTCATGGGAGGAGTGTTTAATATGGCTCCCCCTAGTTATATAATAAAAAATGGAGACCAGACTGTCAGACTTGGCTTTGCCCCAGACTACACATCTGTGTTTGATCAGGAACACAGAAAGTTGCCCTATACAGAGTCAGGCCATTGGTCCATCGATTGGTCCATTTTCTATACTGGCTGGCAATGGCTCTGCAGGGTTTCTCCCAACCCCCACTGAAGATGCCAGGGATTGAAACTGGAACCTTCTGCAGGCAAGGTGAATGTTCTGCCACTTTTCTCCTCGCCCACTTTGAATGGGACCTTCCAGAGTTGCACACAATGTGATGGATCAGCAGAGGTGTGGAATGAATGACCACAACCATCTCCCAGGTGTGAGCTTGTGCAAGACGAGGAGTATATGCATACTAATTTGTTGGACACAGTATGGCCTCAGATGACCCTGTGACAGTGAACCTGTCTACTGGGTGGGACTTATCTCTTGCTAGGTACAAGGCCAGGTACAATGTCTGGGAATGTTTAGTCTTCCAGGATTTCATTTTGTTAGACTGTGAACTCACCCTATTTCCAAATTTGGATTCAATATATCAGTATATTCAGTACATCAAAGATGAGGAGAAACTGGTTCAAGAGGCTCCAGAGATTGTCAGAGGAGTCCCTGCTAGCCAAAGGACCTTGGAAGATGTGCAACAGTTCGGACCCTAAACACCGGTCCTGTGGTTAACTACCCAAATACCTCTGCCAAACTTCTAATAGTATACTATTTCTTTCAGTCGTGCCAATGTCCAACAGTTTTGCTTTTCTGCAAAGCTATAAATAAATACAGTAGCCACAAGATAGCATTCCTGTGTGCCGCACAGGAATATGCATGCTTTAGTCAATGCAGTCGTGAGAAAGGAAGAGGAATCGACATTGATCAGGTTTTTAGGAGCAGGGACACAGAAAGTTCCCTTATACCAAGCAAGACAATTGGTCTATCTAACTCAGTGTTGTCTACACACTGATTAGCAGTGACTATCTTCTGCTCCATTCTAATAGATTCTGTGACACCACACTGTGACATCTTTAACAACATATTGGCACTAGGAAGTTATGACATGCTATATATTTGCCAGTAATTGTTTTTGTTTTCATTTTTTTAAAAAAAAAAACCTACAAAGAGTGCTGTCTGTGGCTCGTGTCATTGTTTGCAATCATGTAATTTAATACCTACATACCTTTAATATTTATAGCTCAGGCTGAAAAGATTTAACACATGTAGTGATTTTCACCAAGTAACTTCATACTCTTCCTGAATACAAAGATGCTATTTGTCATCATCTGTGCTGACTGTTTAAAATAAAAGCTAGCTACTAAGTCATGCAAATGACTTCTCATCCCGCCCACCCCTCTTAAACAATGTAAAATTAAAACAAAATTGCCTTGTGCTTTCCAAAACTGCAACCAGTCGTACTTGTGTGCCCAGCTTTGTCCAGATCCCAGACTCAATACTATCAGGACATATGGCTGCTGCATCTAGTAAAAAAGGATGCTTGATATGACATCATCATGGATTTAACAGAACATCCACCCATTTGAAGCAGCAGGAAGTGAAGTGTAAGAGAGTGCAATGAGGGATGGGGAGCAATGCTGTTTGGTTAGTATTTAAATGCAAAACTCCCTAATTCTCACTTTCTGAACCAAAATGCAGCTATCCTTCCTGATTCTCCTATTTTACAAATTTCACAGTGCGTTTCTCCCAAAGAATAATATGTCCAAAGATGTGTTTATTAGGGGAAAGTGTGCATAAAAGTGCTTGTGTTCATAAAACTAGCATATAAAATGCATTATATTAGAGAACGGTTCTTGCAAAATGGGTGTGTCTGGAGAAATTTGCACTGAAATACTGATGAATTTTCATGAAATATTTTTCTTTTTAAAAAAATGCAAGCTGATGTGGAATTGCGAAGAACATAACTTAAGATTGGAAAAATGAGAAACTGTTACTTTCAGTTTCTGGTAGATCCATTCTCTGCACACGCACACAGCAGCTAGGTGCAATTTATTATTATTATTATTATTATTATTATTAAATTTATATATCATGCTACACCCGCAGGTCTCAGGGCAGTTCACAGGATGGCTCATAATAATAATAATATGTGTCGCTTTTTTACAAGGCATTACTGGGAAACTGCTTTATACTGCAATTTGGCTCAATATAGTCTATAACAGGGTGGAGATGCCAGGTATTTCGAACCTGGAATCTTCTTCATGCAATTCAAGTGCTCTACCACTGAGCTACAACTCTTCCCTCTGTTATAACTGGGATACAAGAGATGTTGGTTGGCAACTGTCATATGTCCTGATCATCTGTTTTGGGCCTGATCAGAGCAAGTTATTGAATGTTAAAAAAAACCTGCACCAAGCAACAATATGCAAGCAACTGAACACTTTTTTCAAAAATGAAATAATAATCTGATTTGTTCATAAATACATTTTAAATAACTACAGTGTAAGGTTTTGAAGGCAGATAAAATAATTATTAGCTCCAATCTATTTTTTAAGGGGGGGGTTGAGGAGAAAGCTGAAAAAATCACCCTAAGAGCTGAGAAAAGGGCAGAGTTTTGTCTGCTTTAAGAAAAAGTTAGTGTTCTCCCAAGAATACCACAAGGAGCTTTTTTTAGAAAGGAATCCATAAAACAGGAAATTTACCGTAAAATTGAAACTGTATCTCACATGGAATCTGGTGGTTGTTTCAGAGTGAGTGTACGTGCTTGATTCAGTCAAGGAAATACAGAAAATATTAGTTGCAGGGTTCTTGCAGAAGGAGAACAGTTTCAGAATCATATACTTTTCAGTAGGTACAACGTCCAGGTGGCCTTAGGACCCTTCGAAGCAAATGAGAGATTGAAGCAGCTGCTTTGGGGGACCTGGGTGTATGTGTGTGTGTGTTCACATGTTGGTATTACATACTTGCTCACTTAACAAACAACACAATCCAAAGGCTAAACTCTAATTTGGGTGCATGAGAGGGATTCCAATTGACATCAATGAAAGTTGTAAAAGAAAAGAAAAAGGCTGGATCCACACTGTTTCGCTCAAAGTCACTGAAATGTATTTCTTAAGTCGGTGAAAATCTCCCTGGAATAAAAATGAAAGTGTCAATAAAAATGTTTTATAATGAAATAGTCATACCCCCTAGAGACCTTAAAACCATGCTCTTTGTTTCCCTGAAACCATTTCAGGAACTATTATTATTATTATTGCTTTTTAAAGCTTCACGTTGATTCAGTATACTTTATTTTAATTTGCGTAATTTTGTAATGTGTGGATAGACAAAGGATTCCACTGCACAAGACTCAGCTATAAATCAGGAAGTCCCGGGATTGAATCTTGCCTCTGCTATAAACTGACTGGGTTGTCTTACGGGACGTCTTTTCTGTGGATATCTTCTCTTGGCATAAGTTTGATAGTTGGAGAGAAGGGCATGTGGACATATGGACACTTGAGTTAGTTGCAAAACTCGAAGGATTTTCCAGGTCTCCATGTATGCTAATGGATTTTTCTGGAAGCAACTAACACGGAAAAGAGGGCTAAAGTTGCACTTTACTATATTTCCAGAAGTGATTTTTATGTCACGTGAATGCTTAAACATAACATGCAAATTAAAAGTTAGGAAAATGTCTGGAAAACAGAATAAATTGCAGAATTAACTGCAGGATTTGCATTCAGGGCACTTCCAGCCTGCCAAGTTAGTTTAATGGGTGAGCCCTACTTACCTAGTTATTAGCTTTGAGTCTCTCAAATTCATATGAAGGGAGGAGCATACTTAAAATAAATTTGCCAGTGTTTTCAATTGTAAATCGCTTCTGGAATATGGGTCAAGAACTCAATTTCCCACCAGGCTTTCCTTCTGGAAGTCTTCCCCTTTGCCAGCGTTACTGTCTTTGGGGGTTTGGGAGAAACAAATGGAGACTTGAGGTCCTGAGAAGTCTGTTGCTCTTTTGGACTCTCGAATTAGCCCTTTAAGGACCTGCTTTGAAGTAAAGTCCAAGTCTTGGTGACTGGAGGACCAATCTGGGAGGAAGAAGCATCCCTATGAGCAATTAGTGAACGTTTCCAGGCCGTCATGCTGATTAAGCTATTCAGAAATTGGTGTGTAGGTGAGGTGCACAATGCCAAATCCTGAGAGAAGGAAACAAAGAGCTTCAATAAGCTGTTGCAAAATGCCTTAAGCCAACAGATATTGTGTGCCAGAGTTTTCCCAGGAAAAGATGGTGTGTTTTCGGATGAAGCATGTGAATGCCAGCAAATAATGTCTGAAGTGCCCCCATCTCCCGCCCAGGAGTGATTTAGGGTGTTCAATGTCTTCTCCATCTTCACCAGCTGTTTCTCATAACTTCTGGCGTGGTGCAAAAATGTCTGGCAGCAGCCGCAACTCTCTCACCGTACTCAGTGCAAACTGAGAGAATTGCGTCCCTTCATAATCTTATAGTGAATGACACACAAGCAAGTACAAGATTGGTACCACCTTTTAAGATTCCCTAGCCTGCTAACGCCCACTTTATTTCAGTCAGAGACAGGCGACAGTGTCAGCCTGTTCCAGAGAGGGGTTTCAGAGTCTTGGACTTTTTTAGTTAAATTTTAAATGCCAGCTTTATTACAGTTAGATTCAGGTAGGTAGCTGTGTTGGTCTGACACAGCCGAAATAAATAAATAAAAATTGTCCAGTAGCACCTTAGAGACCAACTAAGTATGTTCTGGGTATAAGCTTTCATGTGTATCTGAAGAAGTGTGCATGCACACGAAAAATAATACCCAGAACATACTTAGTTGGTCTCTAAGGTGCTACTGGACAATTTTTTAATTTATTTTTTATTGCAGTTGCAATCATTTCCTATTAAAATGCACATTTCATGACTTTTCCTTATTTGAATAAATGCATGTTTAATCTTTTAAAATGAAGATGAAAAATGCCCTTTCACATGAAGTTCCCTGTTGAGGTGAGCCACTCTTCCCCCGCTACCAATGAAAATTCATTTTTGAAAGCCCTGGAGGGCTCACCGTGAGAGCTGCCCATTCAGTGACAAGGGCACAATGGAAATAGCGAGAAACATGCCCCCTTCCCTCTGTGGGTGGAGAGACACACCTGAACAGGGCCTAGAAATTCATGTAAACTCTCTGAACTATAGCAGTTGAAGTCTAAATATTAAAAGAGAACGTATTACAGATTCGTTTGTTCTCATTGCTCTGAATCCACAAACATGATTCAGTCAAAGTTCATCATTTTTAAGCTTTAATAGTCTCAATAGGAGATGCTTTTAATTCTTCCATTGAAACTGGTAGGACTTAAAAGATCTCAGCTTGTGTTGAATCATGGCCAGATCTGTGTTGACAATAACCCCACTGAACTAAGTGGGACTTGCTTCAGAGTAAGTTATACAGCAGACCAGCCTTTAAAGTTTTAAAACCTGGAAAATTAAAGTGCAATTTACTAATTTCCTGTAGCTCTTCCAGAGAAACATTTTGGGTTTTTTGCAACGTTTTGTGTCAAGAAAGATGATTCACAATTCCCCGGAAACTTAGATGACACAGGGTGAAAAGGTCCATTGGATCATTCCTCAAAGAATATGCATTTCCTCAGTGTTGTGACAGGACTAGGCAAACTACAGTTCTTATAAAACTTCTTCATTTGACATGTTTCCCATTTGTCCAGTCAAAGAAAGATGGTGTTAACCAAACCCTTGGCAGAAATATTTGTGCATCATGCAAGTTGACTTAGCAGTTCATTTCCATGTTGGTGGGGATGACAGTTTCCCTTCTCAACACTAGGTATCTAATCAGTGAAATTAGATTTTGATGGCTTGTTCATATCACAGGGCATGTATCCAACATAAATACAGCCTTTATTGAACCACAATCCTTGGGTAAAATATCCTTTCTTGAAAGTGAGGGACTTTTGCTCTTTATTTCAGCATCTTTCTTTCAGGAATGGAGATGCAAGGAAACGACTGCAGATTCAAATATGTTAGAATAACCGAGACGCCTTAGTGGCTTCGAGGTTTCTGGGAAGGAAGTCTCGGGGAATGTTAGCATATTTCTTATGCTCTGCACTCCTGAGGGAAAGTTGACCTTATTTTCATTTTCCCACTGAATGTCTCTTTGGTGTGCTGTGGAATTCCAGGAAGAACATCCTGCAAAGAGAACAATATTTGGCACTCGTTTAGCTGACTCAGTAAATGAGCTAAACACGAAGCAATATGCTTACACTAAAGGAGAGGTCAGACTCTAGTAAATAAGGCAAATCCTTGAAGATAAAACCAAAAATCCTTCAGGAAATAGACAGAAGGCTGGAGACTTTCCCTACGGTATACAGTATAAATAGCAAATGGACAGAAAGTCCCAAACAGAAATTAGTATAATTGCTACTATGTTACTACTAGTTGTGGTGGTACTAGAAGTAGTACCTTACTATTATATTTAGGATGTGCAGATTGCCAACTCTGTCCTGCCAGCTCTTTATTTAATTGTTCCATGTGCTAATAATAAAATGTATCTGTTCTTTTTCTCAAATAAGGTTAACAGCAATTTTCAGTTTTTGAGATTTGGAAGGTGATTTGTTATTAATAATTTTAAAAATTGATTAACCGTAAACTCCTATGGTTATCAAAATGTCCATTTATGGTCTGCAGTTGGAAACAAAAACAGCTACATGGTATATGCAGAGAAGTCCATGCTAAGTTAATAGCAAATTGTGGGTTAAAGGAAGTCCGCACACTCATACGTCACTCATATGCACAAAGTTTCATGGAGATTGTGTCATGTAAAATCAGATTGAAGGCTAGTATTTTGACCACTTTAGACAATGCAGTTTGGACTCACACCCGATACTTTAAGAAGTCTTGTATATTAGATCATGCTGACAAGGCGATTTTAGGAGTCAGTCTTAGGATTAACTTCAATTGGTGCTCTTTTCTTATCCTCCAAATATATTTATGCAAGAGCAAACACCTTGCATGCTACAGATGCACTGTTAGAAGTTTCAAGGTCACTGCAACTCTTATTTTTTTATTATTATTATTACTCCCAACCTTTCCTCACAAAAGAACCCAGGGCATTTAATCTTGCACTGTTACTATTACAGTGGTACCTCGGGTTACAGACGCTTCAAGTTACAGACTCCGCTAACCCAGAAATAGTACCTCGGGTTAAGAATTTTGCATCAGGATGAGAACAGAAATTGCATGGTGGCAGCGAGAGGCCCCATTAGCTAAAGTGGTGCCTCAGGTTAAGAACAGTTTCCGGTTAAGAACGGACCTCCAGAATGAATTAAGTTCTTAACCCGAGGTACCACTATACTTTGTCAAGATGGAGAAGGCTGCTACTGGAATCTACTGGAATCCAGAAAGCAGCTCCCCCCCCTTTTTTTTTTGCAACAGACATTGGTCCTAACCCCCAGAGAAGCACTAACTAATGCTTGACCAATTGGAGAAGAGACAGAAAATTACCTATCTTCTTAATCATAGATGAACCCCTGTTAATCATGCTTTGGAAATAAGTATGCTTGCTTACTTTCAGGGCTTTTCAGAGCAGATTCCAAACTGCCATTAAAAACCTTTGCTCTCCCATATCCCATTTGTACTAAGCCAGGATCTAGCAAGGACCACCAGAATAGGTTGCGTCGACAAGGGTCTATTTCTTTTTCAAACCTCGTAGCACCACCATGAGACTAACTTCAGCAGTGAAAAGCAGATCGGGCTGTGTGGGCCCGTAAAATATGCTTACCACAGCACCCTCCCCTCGCCCTTCCAACTTCCTCTTGTCTACTATAGATTTAAAATCAAAATGGAGTTTGAAAACCTGAAAATCCTAGTGTGCTTTTCTAGTCAGATCCATCGTGTATTTGAAAAGCAGATATGAATGAGCATGCTTGTATGTTATGCTGCATTATCAACGTACATTTTCTTGCATGTGTAGTCAGTCTCAGGCACTCAGGAGCAGTGGGCTGAAATATACTAGACTCTTCAGGAAGCAAGGTTACTCGATTACTCTTTGGGTATTTATTTGTTTTAGGGATGCGGGTGGTGCTGTGGGTTAAACCACAGAGCCTAGGACTTGCCGATCAGAAGGTCGGCGGTTCAAATCCCCGCGATGGGGTGAGCTCCCGTTGTTCGGTTCCAGCTCCTGCCAACCTAGCAGTTCGAAAGCACAAAGTGTAAGTAGATAAATAGGTACCGCTCCAGCGGGAAGGTAAATGGCGTTTCCGTGCGCTGCTCTGGTTCACCAGAAGCGGCTTAGTCATGCTGGCCATATGACCCGGAACCTGTCTGTGGACAAACGCCGGCTCCCTCGGCCAATAAAGCGAGATGAGCGCCGCAACCCCAGAGTCGGTCACGACTGGGCCTAATGGTCAGGGGTCCTTTACCTTATTTATTCGTTTTAGCATTTGTGCCCTGCCTGTCTATACAAAAATATTCCAGGCGGCAAACAAACATACATACCATTTTTTAATCTCCAACCCCCCACCTCCCCTCATCTGGAGGGCATTTTCCGCACTGCTTTTAAGAAAGTGTGCACAAACTGGGGGAAGGTCCCAAGTCAATAAGTTTTGAAGGAACATGATGGATAGATATTGCTGAAGTTAAACAGCTCTGAGAATTAAGCCTGCCTGGCAACCATAAGCACAGTGCCTTAATGGGAGAAGGTGGAGTCAAAGAATCATAGAATTGTAGAGTGGGAAGGACCACAAGGGCAATCTAGTCCAACCCCCTGCAATACAGGAATATTTTGCCCAAGATGGGGCTCAAACCCACAGATTAAGAGTCTTGTGCTGAGCTATAAATGTATAAATGTAATCCATAAACAAAAGGACTAATCAAATGCAGTCTACTAATGTGGTAATCCACCAGTGTCTCTCTGCATGTGTGAAGTACAAATGAAAAATGACTTGTATGAAAAATCATTTGTGACTTAATGCAATGTTTTTAAAGAGCATTTTCAGTAGCGTCATTTGCTGCTGGGGTGCATAGGAACTCTGGGATGCATGGGAATGCCTGCTAGCTCAATTCATGGAACCAGGGCACACATGAAACAACAATTCCCATGCCTTCCAGCAACAGTGGAGGCTCAAATATGCACAGAAGCATCCAGACCTTCAGGAGGAGGCTTTCCCATTGGTTTCTCCTCTTCATAAAGGTCGGCTGAGGCAATAGGCACATTGAGTGGCCTAGCAGCCAGCGAGTCCATTTTGTGTTAAACCCAAACTTCATTGGAGATCTCAGCTTGGCTCAGATGGGAGAGCCACCCATTCACCATTACAAGCTCCCATTTCCCATACTTCATTGTGATGCATTGTGAATTGCAAATTTCCCATTTTTGCAGGAAAATATAAGTGTGAAGGAGCGAAGTTGTGTGCGTGTTTTTTAACAAAATGAATAGATAATTTGCTTTTGTTGTTTTTCCCCATTGTTATTTTACTCGTGTTTGAGCTTATAAAAGCTTTGGATGACTTCTCCCGAGAGCTTGTATAAAATGTTCGGCATACGAAGTGGAAGGGAATGTAACTGATCCTTTCCACTCAAGGTATTTTAACCTGTGCTCTGAGACAGAAAGTAACTGCATTAAAATGGTCAAAGCCTGGAAACAGTGATTGCTCTCAGCTGAGGGTGGTTTTCTTTTTCTTTTTCTTTCCCTTAAATGTGAAATGTGGAACTTAGCATCACAAGGCAATTGAGTCACAGGCTGCTTTGCTTCTAAGGACATGCCTCTCTTTAAATTGACATTGGAATCTGGATTAATAATCACAGCTCCATTGCAGCAATTATCTCAAACCTAGCATGGAAGGTACAAGTGTTCTAGGGAGAGCAGTTACCCTTGAGAGGGAGGAAGGAAGGAAAA